CTCTTGAGTGAGCACCCGCTGCACCTCATGCAAGGTAGGAAGAGCCTGCGTACGTCACCCTCCCATGATGTGGTCAGCACGTCAACTGCATGGGCAGGGCGCCAGATAACATCCTGTGCGCTGCTGAGCTGAGCTGGGGCGCGGCCGCCTGTCTGCACCGGCAGCACCATGTCGCTCATGGTCGTCAGCGTGGCGTGTGTTGGTGAGTCCCGGAAGGGAATCGACGGAGGAAGCACTGGGGTGGAGATCTGGGCCTGGAGGGGAGATCTGGACCTGGAGGTTGAGTTATGGGCCTGGAGTGGAGATATGATCCTGGAGTGGAGATATGGGCCTGGGGTGGAGATATGGGCCTGGGGTGGAGATATGATCCTGGAGTGGAGATCTGGGCCTGGGTGGAGATATGGGCCTGGGGTGGAGATATGGGCCTGGCATGGAGGGATGGGCCTGGAATGGAGATATGGGCCTGGGTGGAGATATGGTCCTGGGGTGGAGATCTGGGCCTGGACTGGAGATATGATCCTGGAGTGGAGATCTGGGCCTGGAATGGAGATATGGGCCTGGAGTGGAGATCTGGGCCTGGGTGGAGATATGGGCCTGGGATAGAGATATTGGCCTGGAGTGGAGATTTGGGCCTGGAGTAGAGATATGAACCTGGAATAGAGATAGGATCCTGGAGTAGAGACATGAGCGTAGAGTGGAGATACGGGCCTGCAATGGAGATACGGGTCCAGAGTGGAGATATGGTCCTGGAGTGGAGATCTGGGCCTGGAGTGGAGATATGTTCCTGGAGTAGAGATATGGGTCTGGAGTGGAGATAGGAGCCTGGAAGGGAGATATGGGTTTGGAGTGGAGATATGGACCTGGAGTGGAGATACGGGCCTGGAGGGGATATATGAGCCTGGAGGGGAGATATGGACCTGGAGTGGAGATACAGGCCTGGAGGGGAGATATGAGCCTGGAGGGGAGATATGGGTTTGGAGTGGAGATATGAGCCTGGAGTGCAGATATGAGCAGCAGAGGAGATATGGACCTGGGGTGGAGATATGGGCCTGGAGTGGAGATATGGGCCTGGAATAGAGATATGAACCTGGAATAGAGATAGGATCCTGTAGTAGAGACATGAGCGTGGAGTGGAGATACGGGCCTGCAGTGGAGATACGGGTCTAGAGTGGAGATATGGGCCTGGGCTGGAGATCTGAGCCTGGAGTGGAGATAGGAGCCTGGAGGGGAGATAGGAGCCTGGAGAGGAGATATGGGCCTGGAATTGAGACATGGGCCTGGAATTGTGATATGAGCCTGGAGTGGAGATATGGGCCTGTATTGAAGATATGGGCCTGGGGTGGAGATAGGATCCTGCAGTGGAGATATGAGCATGGAGAGGAGATATGAGCCTGGAGTGGAGATACAGGTCTGGAGTGGAGATATGGGCCTGGGGTGGAGATAGGAGCCTGGAAGGGAGATATGGGTTTGGAGTGGAGATATGGGCCTGGAGTGCAGATATGAGCCTGGAGGGGAGATATGGGTTTGGAGCGGAGATACGGGCCTGGAGTAGAGATATCAGCATGGAGTGGAGATATGGGCTTGTTGTGTAGATCTAGGCCTGGGGTGTAGATCTGGATCAGGAGGCTGGGTCTCTGCACAGCTGAGATCCCTGCTGCGGGGGCAGGTAGGCAGCCAGGCTGAGTTTACCTTCAGCCCAGCAAGGGCCTGGCTGCCCAGACGCACAGCCCCGTGGGGGCAGCAGGGGAGGCCCTGGTTTGCCTGCAGATGGATCATCCATCATGATCTTTCTTTCCAGGGTTCTTCTTGGTCCAGAGGGCCTGTCCGTACACGGGTGAGTCCTTCCCCAAACCTTAGGGTGTCATCTCCTCACCTAAGAGGATTTTCCTGAAACAGGAGGGAAGTCCTGTCAGTCTCTCATAAACTAAGAAGGGGGGACCCTGGGGTGCTCAGCTCACACTTCTGACCTCGTCCTCTCTGGCCTTTCTTACCGTTGGCTGAGTCAAGCTCTGTGAAGACCGGGGTGAGCTCGGGGTGCTCCAAGCTGAGGTGTGCAGGGAGGAAGTGGTGTCAGCGGCTGAGGAAGGGAGGGAAGCAGTGCTAGGAACAGCAGGTCCTCTGAGGACAAAGGTGTAACTCACACCCTCCAGTGTTTGCCTGTCGGTCAGGGCTGCAGTGTGGCTGCTGTCACTCTACCAGAAGAGGTGGGGAAACCACAGCCACGACCCTGACATTCCAAATCTTCTGATGGGGGCTCGGTTCATGCACTGGCTGATATTCCATTTCACAAAGGACACGCCCTCCATGCCGTCTCTACTTTGTATTGTTTTATGTGAGTCATCTTGAAGTGTTAAAATCTAGTAAGAGTCCCTTATTCAGCACTTGCTCAAAGTTCTCAGCTGACACTTTTGATGTAAGGGGACGCCATGTCTATGTGGGATGGGTTCTTCCTGTAGCCCTGGACACCCAGGTGTGGTAGAAGCCTTAGAAACATGGAAAGGGGAAGAATCTTCTGAGCACAGGGAGGGAGGGACGACTCCACATCCTCCTCTCTAAGGCGGCGCCTCCTTCTCCCCTAGGTGGTCAGGACAAGCCCTTCCTGTTTGCCCGGCCCAGCGCTGTGGTGCCTCAGGGAGGACACGTGACCCTTCGGTGTTACTATCGTGATGGACTTACCAACTTTACCAACTTCACTCTGTACAAAGACGACAGAAGCCATGTTCCCGTCTTCCACAGCAGAATATTCCAGGAGAGCTTCCTCATGGGCCCTGTGACCCCGGCACACGCAGGGACCTACAGATGTCGGGGTTCATACCCGCACTCCCCCACTGAGTGGTCGGCACTCAGCGACACCCTGGCGATCATGGTCACAGGTCAGAGGGCTCCTGTCTGGGCTTCTCCTTGTCCCACCTCCTGAATCCCAGAGCTTCTGCTGGGGGTGTCCGTCAGGGTCCCATCACCGAGGACCTCACTGTCTTTGGGGTACAGGGGAATTGAATACAGGGAAATGGGT